CAACGTGAATGATACTAGATTAGGTACAGTGATAATCGTGATTTTGAATTCGCGATTTTATTCATTTAGGCACTGCAGCTGAGGGGGATGTACAAAAGTGCCTTGATGAAGTTTATCCTATAATCACAATGCTGCCTTTGGCTGACATAGTTTGACGCATATTTGTGGATGCTAGAAAAATGTCTGATTTGCTCACAAAGAAACCTCACTTTAAATCAGTCTTCGACTGAGGATCAGTGAGTAATTTAAAAATCAAAAAAATGGTACTGAATGACTTCAATCAGGCCGAAAAAGGGCTCAGGAATTTTGTGGCAGTTACAATAGAATGCACATGTTTAGGAGGTGAAATAAACGGTTTCCATATTTGTGGTCACTTTGCTAAAAAATATGACTGCAAGCACGTTGCAAATACAAACAAATTTGCGAGTCCCAGAAGATAACTGAGAAGTGTAAGATTTAATCACTAGGACAATAAATTTATCTTTATTTGACCAATGGTAAAAAAAACTCGCGGCCTCGGTGGGGTTCGAACGCGCTCAGCAGGGAAGGCGGAGCCTGACGTTTCGAGATTCGTCATTTGCTTTATTAGAGACAGAAAAAATAACAGAAACGTATAATGCTTGCACAGAAAGTATCAGTATCTATAGGAAACAGCCACTGGGCTACTGTACACTCATGGCAATTGACAACTATCCTATCGGGGATAATTGTCAGCTTGTCCACGTTTGATTTGGCCAAAGATAGTCGCCATTTGGGGAACACGTAGCCCAACGCGTCGTCTAATGCCAATTCCAGGGGGACGGATGACCGAGCAATTTTAAGACATGTGAGGGTCCGGCCTGTATGCTGTCCGTCAAGCAATTAGTGCACAAACGGGACATTATCTCCGATAGGGGAGTAGTGAATTGGCATAACTGTGCAGTAACATAGTGACTGTATTTTTTAAATACTGCTACAACTGCCACGACATGAAACCTCTGGAGTCGTATATGTGATCCGATGCCATCGCGGACAAAAACTAGGTCCGAAAACTGGCAGACTTCTTAAGACACGAATTGCCACACATGCAGCAGCGATGTGGAGAAATGACGTCAATTATCATGTTGCGGATCATTTTTCATGTCCTGGACACACATTCAAATTTGATAAAGCCGAAAGCAATGACAACTCTATGAATTGCGAACTACTTCAGTCATCTTTCGCGGGAAATTGCCTGCCAAATCTATAGTTTGGGCCAGAAATCGTGCAGCTTGCATAACTTCGTAAAAGTTTGATTATTACTCGCATATCGGCGTGAGCACATTAACGAAAACTTAGAAATAATAATAAACAGTATTAGGCATATTTAAAACTTAAAAGAAGTCTAAGAAGTACCTAGTGTTTGCTAAGATAAATAAACTTTTTTGATCTTCCCCTAGTATCGGAGACGTGGAACAATAGCTATACATTAGAGCAATAAATTTAAATATTTCTTTAGGTTTAACCTTTACGATACCACTTTCTATATATAAAAAAATTTTCTTTAGTCTAAATTACTTGCACATACCATTACCTAATGACTTTTTATTTAATTTGGCCCTGCGTTTTCAGTGTCGTTATTTGTTCATACATTAATTGATCTTTCATTCAATTTTTACATCAAAATCTTTAAAATAACATACGCATCAAGAGCATTTACCGAAATAATGGGTTTTTGGATATAAGTTCTTATGTAGACGGCCATGTGGGTCATATTCAGAAATGCCTTTAAAATAGCAAGCTACATTTTCGAGACAAAATAAAGTCCGCAACAGAATTCTTATATTGTTTTTCCTAAGATTCATCAAAAAATTTATGGTATGGTTTATCCCCTTAAAATGTGCTTTTATTTGATATTCAGCTAACAAATGTTTGTGTTAATTACCTCTTTCCATAATAATATTAAAATTAAATTTAAGACGTTGGACAATTTACTTTTCTCTTTATAAGGCATTATTTTCCGCAACAATGGATTACTTCCGGGATCTGTTATAAGGTTGCAACTACAAAGAAAAGTGGTCATATGCATAGCCATTTTTTGAAATAATAATTATTCTTCTGTCTGTTCCGTTTCCAAATAACACATGAGCGGAAAGTATAGTTCACAAAAAATGATATTGCTACATGACTTACATTTAATAAGGTCTGTTTTACATTACCTTCGCGATAACACGTATGTACGCTTTGCCTGTTCGTCATGTAGGCGATTTTGTAAAGAAAACTGCAACCAAACTCGTGCAAAAAACTTCACAGGTTAATAAAACATAAATTTTAAAACAAAAATCGTTCCTTATTTCTATTTCTAAAAACTAACTTGGCTTTCCTTGTATTTGAAAAATTTCAGACAACATTTTCCAGTTCTGGAAGCTATACTTTTTAAACTTTTTTAATTATTTTGTAGTTTCTCCATAGCACAATGCGCATTAATAAAAATTTTGGTTCTATCCTACATAATAGCATAGGGTATTCCTTCGATATGAGACTTCTCCCAATTTCGCCAAAATTAGTGCTTATTTTTCTTAATAAACCTAACTAAAATGAAGATTATTCTAGCTAAAAGGCTTTCTCAGGATTAACTCGACCCAGTGAACCAAAATAACGTTAGCAAATATATGCTAACCTGCTAATCCAAATATCGTCATGAAAGTTGCACGATTTTTCACCCATACTGTATATTCGCCGCTGTGTCTCGTTTTGGCCAAAAAATCGTCGCTTCCGAACGCACAGGCCGACACGTCGTCGGACGACAGCGGCAGGTGGCCAGATGACCGAGCAATCATCGCGTCCAATTCCATCATGTGTGACGAAAGTTCAACAGGTCACAGCCCGCACGCCCGTCATCAAGCTATTAGCGCACAATTAGTAGTTAATTTTCATAAGGGTGCAGTAATATAATGATTGTATCCCATAAATAGTACGACTTCCTGTGCTAGGATTACCCGTTTCCGCTTATGTCTAAGAAAAAGGATCCGCGACGGATTGTGAAACGTCAAGCACATAAAACTTCTGTCCCAGTAGTCATAACTTCTTCTTCCAAACACGTTTTTACCTAGTCCCATCAGTTTTCTGCTTTATTTTTCTTGAAGCATTCACACGCAGGTAGCACCTCCTCTTAAGCCTGATATAGAGCCCTATCTTCAGCATACATGTGCCCTTGCAATCACACAGAAATAGCGTTTTACTTATTGTACTGCAAGATTAAACACGCTGCTTGCATTATGCCTTGGATTTCCAGCCTGAGGAATCAGTTAGTTGAAGTGTCACTCCCACGTTAAATATATCACGCCGGAATCGTATGTGCTCAGATGATAAAAAACGCCAAATGGCCACAAAATGCGAATGTTAGTTTGAAGTGTTTCAAATCTGGTCCTGGGCTATTTCTGGTTGATGACGGTGAAAGCACAACGAAAGGATACTCTTAATTACCCTATCATTGTCTGGGTTTGGTCTTCTTAGACTGTGGTTTCTTGGAATCGGCTGGCATTATAAAGCTACATAAGATTTCGGAAAAAACAATACTGCTTTACTATGAATTAATTCGGATTCATTCTATAGGTTATTAATACAAGGCCTTGTGGAGACTGTTAGAAACGTCATTTTGAGGCAGATGTTCACTACAAAAGGAAAAGATAAAAAGCCGGCCTCTCTAATTTTTCAAACGCTGGAGCGTCATTTAATACAAAGTAAGCCATTCTGTTTTTGGATATGACCACTCAGGAAAACGAATCAGTTCAAGAACGCATAATCTTAACACCTCTACTCGTCAAGCAAAACAGTTACGTAGACGTTTCCATTTCCACAAGTATAGTTTTGATCTGCACATTATCCTGCCAATCTTTAAAACATATAATCCCAAATACTTACATCAAAATAAATTAACGATCGTGTTTTGAAAGTTTCTGGCGGGAGGTGAATCCTACGACAGTTTTCCTTAGTAAACAAGAGTAAGTTTTTACTATGGTTAGTGTGGAGGTTATATCTGCCGTGCCCAGACGCCTTTTTAACTATATAATATTGTTGTAATTTTTTAAAAAAATACGACGTCGGAAAAAATGTCTTATTATAAAAGTACTCCAGATGAAAGAATTTATAAGGCAACGAATCCAACTGATTTTTATTTATGAAGGTATCGTCGCAAATGACAGAAATGATGCAGTCCATTGCACAGTATTTCAGAGGTACTGTGTCTTCCATATTCACGTCATAATTGTCGGTCACTTGCCCCATAAAACATGTTGCGTTTTTACTAAATGAAATGCAGGTTACAAAGGTAGACGACAACTGATGGTGGTGTGAATGCGCAAGTTAGAAAGAAAGAGGTTGGAATTTTTCCCGATGTAACAATAGAAGTCACAAAAGTGGCTGGTTCATATGATACTGTCCTGGTATTGACCTGGCCTGGATTTTAAAAGCTTTTTTTTAAGGATGAGCCTCCTGCAAGTCTTTTTTCCAAAAACGGGAAAGTTTTTTTTGAATCAACGTGATTTATAAGTTAACAGTTTTATACCGGAAATCATCAAATAAAAAACTACTTAAGTGGCTCATTTTACTACAATCTATAAGCTCCCTGGGGCATTCTGGACAAACTTATTATCTTCGATACTTTTTCGCATAGTCGCTGGGTCGCAATGCCGACTGTTGGCACCATGTGGGCAATATTTCGAGTGCGATTATGAAAATAATATTTTAATGCGCCTCCCTATGATCTGTACATGACTCAAAATTATTTGATTGATCGGAGTGATGCATTGCAAAACTGAACTGATCATATAGGCCCGTTATGGACGTAGATTTGCAAATGCGCCACCATTTTATAGCGTGAAAACTGCCTTCCTAC